GTGTAAACTCTTTATAAAAAAAAAAAAAAAAAAAGCTCAATTCAAAAGTATTACTTGGTGTAAAACATGTTGAAGATGAGCCAATAGATTAAATGATGAACGGTTTATTCAGCGTAGAGAAGCCTCTCCTTCATTGACATCCATTCAAAAAAATAAAAATCCCCTCTGGTCTCCTTTCTGTTAGCGTTAGACGTTACGCTTTTTGGCTAACGGCTGCAGGCTTGCCTTCTATGGGCTTTGTCAGAGTAGTCCATGACAGTGGCTTAGTTAAGCTTTGACGTAAATGTTTGAACAGTTTTTCGTGTTTAAATGGGCAACTTTGACACAGTAAACTAATCAATTTAGAAATGGAATATATCTGAACTGAAGAACAACATGGTGTTAGTTTCGGCTCCAAATCAAGTCATTTATACACTTGTTTTCTGAATTTTCGCTGGAGTTACAGTCATTACAACAGGAATCTCTGAGTGGGGATCTCTAGTAATCTAATAGATTCCATATATATATATTATGAGTGAAGATTGTATGTGCTTCGCACGCTTATATGTACGCATTTGACTACATTGTGAAGGCAGTAAATATGTGGCCACATTAGTAAATTTAAGCAATAAAAAGCACATCAAGTGTTTGTGGAAACGCACAGAGTTAATTTTGACGGTTTGATATTCTGTCTGTTTTTAGGCTAAGTTAAGGTACGGGTGTATGTCTGATTATCTTTAGGAAATAATGTGTTTTCAGGTAACTTCACTGTCAGTAATATATACATACGGTGTCAATGGTTGTTATAGGAAGTACATGACATCCACACCAGGCATAGCACTGTTCTTCATGCCCTTCAAGTGTCTGAGCGTTGAAGAATCAGTTCTCTCCAAAATCCAAAGTAAAATATTTTTCATGAAACCTGAAGTACAGGCAACCAAACTTTGAAAAACCAAAAAGGCCATAACGGTGATGTAAAACGGATCCATATGAATGGAGCGGTTTAAGCCGAGTCTTTGGAAGAGGTATGATTGCTTTGATGAACTAATTCATGTAGAATTATAGAATTAATGTCACTTGCATGCACACAGATACATGTATAAGGCATCAAATCATTGTGATGTGAGAAGCATTCTCGTCGTCTCGTCGTGCGTCACATACATTTTGTGTTAACTGTATTTTATGTGCATCAGTAAAATGGATTTTAATTTAACTTCATATATAAAAAGTGATCATATAACAAGACTTGGATTAAATTACTTTTATAACCTTTTAGGATCTTCAGAGTTTGTTGCGTGGACAGAAAAAATTGGTGTTCTGCAAAGTTTGCGGCTTCAGAATTTGTAGATTATGATTCCACATATTTCTATGGTATACTGAAAAACAAATAAGCATATCATTAGTTTTAAAGGCTTTTATTGGCAAAGAAAATAATATATAATACGAGTCAATATTTACGGTGTTGATGCTTGTTCTTCATAACCTCTGCAGTTCGCTCTGGCATGCTGGATATTAGCTTGTGGGCCAAATCCTGACGGATGGCGATCTATTCTTGCCTTATTAGTTCTGAGTTGATCACAACTTGTGGGCTTCTGTTGTCCACTCGCCTCTTGAGGACTGACCACAGGTTCTCTATGGGATTGAGATCCGGGGAGTTGCCTGGCCACGGATCCAACATAATGATCTTCGAGCCACTTCTTTATCGCTCTTGCTTTGTGGCACGGTGCTCCGTCATGCTGGAAGATGCCCGGATCATCACCAAATTGCTCATGGATAGGTGGAAGTCGTCGCTCTTGCAGGACGTTGTGCTACATTCTTTATGGCAGAGTTTCTGGGCAGAGTTATGAGAGAGAGCACACTCCCTCGGTTGAAAAGCAACCCCACACATGGATGGTCTCAGGATGCTTCGCTGTTGGCACAACACAGGACTCATGGTAGCGTTCACCTTTTCATACGAGTCAATATTTACGGTGTTGATGCTTGTTCTTCATAACCTCTGCAGTTCGCTCTGGCATGCTGGATATTAGCTTGTGGGCCAAATCCTGACGGATGGCGATCTATTCTTGCCTTATTAGTTCTGAGTTGATCACAACTTGTGGGCTTCTGTTGTCCACTCGCCTCTTGAGGACTGACCACAGGTTCTCTATGGGATTGAGATCCGGGGAGTTGCCTGGCCACGGATCCAA